GAATGGAAACCCAAAATCTCTGTAAATGTTTATGAAAATTAATAAAATATAATTATAGAAAAAAAATAAAGTGACCATTCTACCCACATAAACTCAAACTCAGTATTTCAGAGCATTACTGCCCTAGTCCCTCCTCAGTTTCAGCTCCAGTAGACACTAATACAACTCTGTTTCTATACATGTCTTTTTATACAATTGAGGTCATAAAATACTTGTCTTTGGTGATTATTTCATTCACACAGCATGTCTTCCACCTCCAGCCATACTGCTGCATATGTGAAGATTTCATTTCTCCTAGTGGATGAATTCCATTGCACATGTTTACCAAACAAAACAATACTGCAGTTAATTCTGACTAATGTCAACCCAATATGGGGTTTCTAAGGCCATAAATATTTCTGAGCAGAGACTGTCCATCTTGCTCCTGCAGACTGGATGGCGGATTTGCAGGAGAAGCCTCAAGTGTAATGAACTACACCAACAGGGTTCTATTTTTATGCACTACATTTTGTTTATCCATGCATCTGCTGATACACATTTAGGATGCATCCTACTGGGCGCAGTGCTGCAATGAACACTGCCTTACAAGTCTCTGGTTGAGTCTCTGCTCTCAAGTCTTTTGGAATGGAATTATCTCTTGATAGCAAAATAGGACTTAAGGAGTCCTGGTGGTACAGTGTTTTAGCATTAGTTACTAACCCAAAGGTAAGTGGTTCAAATGCACTAAAAGGTCCATGGGAGAAATATGAAGCAGTAAGCGTCCATAAAACTTACAGCCTCTGTCATCTTATCAGACTGTACAGAGTCCTACTCAGTTTGATAGGGTTGTTATGAGTCACAAATAACTTGACGGCAAAAGGTTTGCTTTTGGTTCAATATGGGAGGGAATACAGACTCACTGTACAAAAAAAACTGGCTGACACAGAACCTTACAGGAGGTAGCATATGATTAAGAGTCAATGGTAATGAAGGAAGAAGTTCAAGCTGTACTGAAGGCATTGATGAAAAATAAGACCATAGGAATCAGTGAGATACCAATGGATATGTTTCAACAAAGAGATGCAAAACTGATATGCTCACTAGTCCGTGGCAGGAAATTTGGAAGACAACTACCTGGCCAACTTACTGGAAGAGATCTGGTATCTGTACCTATTTCCAAGATAAGTGATCTAACAGAAATGGAAATTATCAACAATATCATTAATATCACAGGTAAGCAAAACAGGGATCTTGCAGCTAATGTTAGATGGATGTTGGCTGAAAGCATGGAGTTCCAGAAGAATGTCTTTGTTTCACTGATTACACAAAGGCGTTCGACTGTGTGAATCATAACAAACTGTGGCTGACTCTGAAGAATGGGAATCCCAGAACACTTGATTGTGCTAATGCGAAATCTATACTTGGACCAGGAGGAAGTCGTCAGAACAGAGCAAGGAAACAATGTATGGTTCAAAATTGGGAAGGATGTATGCCAGGGCCGTATCCTGTCTCCATATCTTTTCATACTTTATGCCAAACACGTTATCTGGGAGGTTGGGCTGTATGAGGAGAAATGTGACATCAAGACTGGAGGAACACCATCAACAATCTGCATTATGCAGATGACACAACCCTGCTTGCTGAGGGTCAGGGACTGCAGTCTTCAGTATGGACTGAGACTCAATAGCAAGAAAACAAAGATTCTAACCACTGGGCCGATTGGCAGTATCATAATGGATGGTCAAGATATTGAGATTGTTCACAGTTTTGGTTTGCTTGGACCCACAGTCAACACTCTTGGCACCAGCAGCCAGGAAATTAAAAGATGTGTTGTAATGGGAAAGTCTGTGGTTAGAGACATCTGTAAAGTGCTGAAGTGCAAAGATGTCAGTCTGGAAACTAAGGTGTGCCTGATACATGCCATGGTCTTTGCAATCATTTGCTATGCATCAGAAAGCTGGATAATGACTAGGGATGATAGACGGAGAATTGCTGCCTTTGAACTGTGGTGTTGGAGAAGAGTCTTTAATATACCATGGACTGGTAGGAAAACAAACAGGTTTGTCCTGGAGGGGGTGAAGCTGGGCTGCTCTCTGGAGGTAAGGATTCTGAAGCTTCGTCTGACATACTTTGGGCATGTTGCAAGGAGGGAGGGATGTCATGCTTGGGAGGGTGGAAGGATAGTGCAGGAGAGGAAGACCCTCAATGAGATAGATTGATTCAGTCACTGGGGTAATGGGGGTGGGTGTGTCAGAGATGGTGAGATTGGCACCGGATAGGACAGAGTTTAGGGCTATTGTACATAGGGTCGCTATAAGTTGCAGGTGACTCAACGGCACGTAACAACAACAAGCAAAATAAAATCAGTTACAACAGTTTATCAACAGAGAAATGCCAGAAGTACAAGCTGGATTTAGAAGAGGCTGTGGAACCAGTGATATAACTGTCGAAGTCAGAGGAATTCTGGCTGAAAGCAGAAAATATCAGTGTTTTATTGACTATGGTAAGGCATTTGACTGCATGGATCATAACATATTATGGCTGACATTGAGAGGAATGGGAATCCCAGAACTTATACAAAATGTATACCTAGACCAGTAAACTGCTGTCTGAACAGAGCAGGATAATATCACATGGTTTAAAATTAAAACGGTTGTGCTTCAACCAGTCTAAATTGGACTCTGTAACTAATGTTTCACCATAACAAGAAAAGCATGAACTTGTATTAATCTTATATAATAGATCGATCATGCACCGTATCCACAGGAGGTTGGGAAACCATGCCATTTTCTGAAATTTAAGGTGTTGCGTTATTTCACCAATCATTTGTTTACAAAAAGAAAAATGAAAAAATAAATGGAAAATGTGAACCCTTAAAAAAAAAATTTAAAAAGTGTGCATGAGGAATGAACCCTTTCTCCATACCTATTCAATCTGTATGAAATGCCAATCATTTGAGAAGCTGGACTTTATGAAGATAAATTTAACACTGGAATTGGAGGAAGACTCATCAACAATCTGTGCTATGTAGATGACACAATTTTGTTTGCTCAAAGTGAGGAGGACCTGAGGCACTAAATGCAGAAGAGCAATGACTAAATACCTACCCTTCTGTATGGATTATACTTGAACATCAAGAAAATAAAAATCCTTACCACTGGACCAGTAGGCAACATCATGATAAATGGAAAGAGAGAAAACTGAAATGGTTAATGATTTCATCTTGCTTGAATCCACAATCAACAACTATCATAGCAACAATCAAGAAATCCAAAGACATACTTTCTCAAAAAATTGGAAATAGAAATACCATTTGCCCCAGCAATTCCACCACTGGGAATATACCTTAAAGAAATCTGAGCCACAACTCCAACAGATGTATGCACACTCAAGTTTACTGCAGCATTATTCACAATGGTAAAGAGATGGAAACAACTCAAGTGCCCACCAATAAAGAACGAATAGAAAACCTATGGTACATCTTATGTACATAGGTACACTCTGTTTCTTTTTTTCAGTGAAACGGAAATATTTTCTCTTCTGACGGATTAAATGAAATGCTTACCATCTTTAGCTTCTGATCGATGTCCAAGTTTGATCTGGTAAGGGAGAAAGGGGGAGAACAATCACATCAGAAATGTGTCACACCATTTTGACTAAATGTTCAATATGTAATTTTATTTTAAATTTAGTAACAGCAAAAAGATGGAGAATTCACATGCAACTGATATGACAGGCATAGAGGGAATAGGAATTATCAAAGAGAAAGGCAAAAGCAACAAGGTAAGAGGATCATGTACTTTCCATTCCATGGTCCTTAAAATTATGAATTATATATTCACACAATATAATTAAGAGAACTATCTCCTTTATACGTGCAAGGCTAGCTCATTCATTCACTGCTATCAAGTCAGAATCACCAGAAACCCTCCAGCAGGTTTCTGAGGCTGTAAATCACAGAAGGAGATTGCCCATCTTTCTCCATGGATTAACTGATAGATTTGAACCACAGAAAAGTGCCATTTCTGTATTATCAGGGCATCCCTTACATACACCAGCGTTCCAGACAGTGAACAAAATATCCAAAAGTACTCTGCTTAATTCTTTTAAAAAATTTCTTTCAAGTGAGCAAACTCTGGAGGAAATGTGATATATGAACAAAAATGTTTTATTAGAAGTAAGACACTCAAGTGCAACAACGAATGCATGAAAGTCCAAAATCTCTGTAAATGTTCATTAAAACTGTAAAATAAAATTTTTTTAAAAAAGTAAGACACCCACTATTACGGACATACTCTAAAAAGCAAAATTAAAAACGGCAATGGAGAAAATGGGTAAATTGTTATTTTGAATAAGCACTAAAAAAAAAAAAAACACAAACAGGTTTAAGTCTCACCAAAACAGATTAATAATAAGTAAAAGAACACTAACTAATAATTCATATTGTCACCAATAGCATAATTTTTAAAAATTTTTATTCATTCATTATTGCACCTTTTTTTATTATTAAATTTTATTAGTTTTTAATGAACATTTACAAGGATTTTGGGTTTTCATTCCTTCATTACTGCACCATTCTCTCTACCCTCCTCCCCAGTTTGTTCTTCCCCCACCCTCCGAATGTCTGTTTTAATTGTCCAAATGCCACAGTGCTTGTGAAAGCCAGTTCTGATTAATCTCTTTTGTCAGTGTGTCCTTTGCCACATTCCCTATCACTCCTCCCTGAGAGAGACTTCACCCTGAGTCATAAGGAAAAGGGGATGGCGTATTCTCTTAGCTACTTCCTGCTGAAAAGGGACGCTGTGGGTTTCAGGGTG